AAAAAAAAATCGTACGCGTAATTTGGGGACCGTATCTGTCTATTTATAGACAATTTTATCTTAAATTTTTTATATTTTAAATTAACTAATTTTAAAATTAAAAATTATAGATTTGATCTCTACTTATAAAATAAAATTCATACTCTAATTTGATGCAGTAAGGTTCAATACATCCTTTAACTGTATCGGATCACTTCTAATAGAGTTCAATTAATCTGATAGTATTTTATACACAGTAATTTATATATATAACTTCGTGGTAAATTTAAAACCCACCAAATCATCCCTCGAAAAAGATGATAGACTCTTTTTTAGGGTTACCAAGATGAAAGACTTCTGTATCAATAGCTACGCAAGGCCCAAAAGTATGGAAAATACCCATTAGACATATCGCACCAAAATTGATTCAGAAAATTTAATTTAAAATAAATTATTTATATTTTTAATGTTTTGATAGTTTATTTTATAATCTATATAAAGTACATATATATTTAATTTTTAAAATTAAAAAATATTAATTGATATAAGGCAGAATAAGTCTAAAATTTTTAAGTAAACTAAATAAACGAGTTTGAATTTTAATAAGAAACATAATTTATTATTTTATGTGTGTGTTATAAGACCGATGACAATGATCGACATAAAATTTTTAATTTAATAAAATTAATAATTTAATTTATTATTATATTTTTAAATAAAATAAATATTTTATAACGTTTAAATTTTAGTAAAAATAATTATAATAAATTAAAAATAATTATAATAAATTAAAAATTAAATTAAGTTAAAGAGTAAAAAGAAAAAAAGAAACGATGGAGTGAACAGTGGACTGACCAGGAAGAAGCTTGAAGATTCAGGTAGTCTGACACGTGGCGACATTAACAGGACTCTGCACGTGATTATTTCTTTCTTTTTGTTTTTTTCTATTTTTTCTAAACGTTGATTGCCAGAAACGGCGTCGTTTAATTGACAGTTCTAACGCAGCCTAGCTCGAAGAAGAATCCAACTGCTTAACGGATCAGCGTTTTGACTACGTTGATTTATGGGCTGCGTGACGCAGAGAGGTGGCAAATTAAATATTTTATACACTTAAGATTATAACTACATATATATATATATATATTTTTTAATTTTATGATATATTTTGTATTTTAATGTATTAATAAAATAATCACAAAAAACATTTAACTTAAATTAAATTTCCTTCTCAATTGGGGCAAAAGACAAATCCTTTAAAAAAAACGTGATTAATTGGAGTTAAGACCAATTAATTTATCATTAATATTCAACTAATTAACCCTGTTTGATTCACAAATTGCAGACCAATTTAATTAACGTAATCATTTTGGAATCGAATTAGTCTCGTAATGGGTATTCAAGAGTTTGATCCTCCAGCATATACATACACGAATCCAATGTTTTTAGACTGTAATATATACTTGTATGTATATAAAAACCAAACAGAAATTGGAATGAGACAATCATCTTGGAAACTAAATAAATACATGGGTGTGTTTATATATATATATACATATACATATATTTACACGTGTATGTATTGATGAATTTTGAAGTAGGAAATGAATATGGATTAAGAGGTCAAGACCTATGTTGGCAGGTCAAATGGAGTTTCAATGGAGTCATTGTAGATTTTCAACGACGGCCAGGGTTCTTTGTTCGACCACTGCAACAAACCAAATTTGACATACGTAATTAAACCTTTTATATTTGAATATTTTCAACCAGTTTAACGAACTATCTTTGACATTTTGCAATTACCCAATCGAGCTGCAGCTACAGTTTGAATTTTTTGAAGTTTCAAACCTTAATTTAGTAGCTTCTATGTAATTTTATATTGTAAAGTTGGTAACTTTGTCGCACCCAATAATTAAATTTAAATATCGTAATAAGAGAATTTATTATTTAACCGATCTCACTCTCATTCTACAAAAATTTTAAATAAATTATCGATAATCAAATTATCATATAATGATGAAACCCATTTATGGGAACAAACTTTGTATACATCAATAATAATATTGTAATATAAAATTTAATTTTCCCATATGTAATATTCGCTAAATAATGTTGAATGTATACAATACTTTTCAGCAAATTGAAAAAATTAATCACACTTTTTAGACAAGTCGTATAAAAAGTATGATGTCGTGTTTAATACCCTCATATTCAACCCACTATACAAGGTAAATCCCCCTTTGGAATCTTCTCTTGTTTACATGTAAATGGTAAAAAGTGATTAATTAATTAATTAATTAACTAATTAACTAATTAATTAATCAATATAATTATTGAAATAACTGAAAAAGTAGGGTTCATGTAAAGTAGATGGAAAATTTTAGTCACGGGAGGTATTTTTATGGTGGAAGAATTTTGGTGGCACCCATATGCTTAACTTTGTATTTAATTTTATTTATTTTATTGTATTTGTAAGTTTATTGAGTAAAACGCAAGGCACAATGTCACATGAACCCAATACAATTTTGGTCTTGTTTTTTCAAAAGCTTTTGGAATTCAAGCGGTGGCCTCACAAATGGAATTTTCATTAATTGATCGAATCCCATATGATTAAATCCATTTCCATTAATAATTAATTATCCATGGTTCTTACATATGTAGTTTAGCTTTACTAAAATTCACATAATATATAGTTCAATTCATATGGTTTAATTTTTTTTTTGTAATTTATTAAAATCGCCAAATCTTTACATGTCGTTATGTTAATTTGCAATTTCACGAGTATAATTATGGTTTTGTATTTAATCATGATGTTAATCACTTACTAAATACTTATTTAGATTCTTTACTAGATTTTTAACCCTCATTTTCTTAATTAATAAAGTTAATTTTTTTTTATAAAAAAAAAGTACGACTTAGTTTTGAAATTAATACCTTTAAGCTGTCTCAATTAGTTTATATAAATTTATAAAAATTTAATTTTACCAATAAATTTGTATTTAGTGCGTGTGTGTATATATATATATATATATATAGTTTTTACTTTTCTCTAATTTCTTGGTTTCTTAAATAGAATTGGGACAATTTAGTTTTTGCCACCTTTTCCATCCCCATTACCACGAAATCTCTACAAGTCTAATCAAAGAGGGAAAAAATAATATTACTATAAAACATAAAAATATATTAATTGTATAGGATATTATTTTTTAAAAAATATATTAATTAAAATGGATATTTCATGGGTTAAAATGCTAATTAAGCAAATTTAAGAAGAACTAAACAAGAAAATAAATCTTGGATTGACCAAATTACGTCTTGCTGTTTTTGTAGTGATTCAATAATTAAAATTTATACGTAATTTACCCAAATTGTAGATACATATAATCTTAATTATTAAACTAATATTCAATTAATTTGATTAATTAGTAAGTACCCAAATAAACCAGATTCAATTTCAAGAATTTGACTGAAGAATTAGAAGCAATTTTCTTTACCCACAAGTGCACGCCACTTAATTCTTATTTTATTATATTTTACGAAAATGGTACAAAAATTCTAATACTAAATTAAAATTTTATTTAATGTAGTTTAATATCTCTTCCAATTTAACCTTTTTTTTTAAAATTTTTTTATTTTGATAATTCAGTTTCTACAATTTTTTGTTATTTTACATAATTATTAAATTTTTAAAGAAATTTTAAAACAAAAATGTGAGAAAATTTATAAAAAATTTAAAAAAAAAACTAAAAATATTATATAATGACAAAAGAATATTAATATTTACGGGGTAAGATTTTAATTTACCATATATATTATATATTTTATATTACATGAATGAATGGTAAAAAAATCCGAAAGAAGAGAACAAAAAAAGGTAGGGTAATATTGTAATTACAATATATGTATATATGTGTGTTTTTATATTATGCGAATGGTAACTAAAATCCAAGAGAAAATAAGAAAAAAAGCAGGTTAAAAATCAGAAGGAAAGATTTTGTGTATTGTCCTGAAATTGACTCTCCAAAATTACCAACAAAAAAAAAAGCTTAATTTATTTGTCTATGGAGATTGTCTAAAAGCCAAAGTCATAACTGCAACACTTTCCTCCACAACAATTATAAATAAATTAATGAAGACCATTCGCCGCGCGTTACACACATATATATATATGTATACGCATGTGTGTGTGCATATGTATATGTATATGTATATATACCTCTCTGCATGTTTTCCAACCCTCTAAGCTTCCCCGTACCCAGAATTTGAAGGACCCCATCACAGAGAAAAGAAAATAAAAAGGAAAAGGAGAAGAGAAGGAAAACAAACGGCGTCGTTTGTCATCAGTTTCTCCTTCTTATTGAGAGAATCGGCATTGTTATACAACATTCTTCAAGGTATGTACATATGGAATTTTTTATCTGGGTAATTTTCTTTCTTTTTTTTTTGGGTGGTGTTTTAAAATTAAAATGAAGGAATTGTATACGATTTAATTAAAGGGTAAGCAACATATATATATATATATATGTATTTATGTATGTACGTATAATGATTTACAGGGGGAGCTAGGTTTGTGATGAAGATAATAGAGGAGGTAGGTTGGAGAGGAAAATGGAGCTTGCTGATGATGGTGTGTTTAACAATGGCGAATCTGGTTTGGTCCGAAGCTGTACCTGTCTGGTCTGAGAAGACCCCAGTTAGGTTCTTATCTTACCTCTCTTCTCCCTTTGTTTTTCTCTTGCAATTACATACGCGTGTCTTTTGCTTTGTGTGTCTCGTGAGAGAGAGAAACACAGAATTACTTGCATGTCACCTTTTCGTTTTCAGATTTCAGAATAACCCTTTTTTCTTTATAAAAAATCTATACATATATACATATATATATATATATACACACATATAAGTCGTCTCAAAATCTTTTACCTCTGTTTTTCTTTTAAAAATTATTATTATCAAGTCAACAGAGATGTTGAACTTTGAATTTTTTCTTCTCTAAAAATTAAACTATTACTTTAAATGAGAGTTAATTCTCTCTCTTTTTTGAAACTTCAAGGCTAGAATTAGGCATTATAATTAAAATTTAAATCCAAAAATTAACGAAAATTGAATCAAAAATATTTTTAATCTTGTAAATTTGAATTTACAAAATTACTATATTTTATTTTATTATATATATATATATATATGATAATTAATTGTATTTAATTTATATTTTAATGTTCTTTAAAATTTGTTGTGTTGCGATGAAATCTCCCAGTTTTAACGTTTGTCCTTTCTTTACTTCTTTTTAACAAACAAAAATATAAAAATAGTAATTTTAAATTTTACGTTTTATTTTAAATTACAATGCTAGTTAAATAAAAAAAAAATTACCACGTTATAAAAAATTATTGAATATTGGACTAATTTTTTTTTACAATTTCAATATGTTCGTAATCATATTATTTTAGTTTTACACCATAATAATTGAATTTAAAAAATTAAAAAACAACGAACCCATATACATACATATACATATATACATATACATATACATATATAGGAATTCATATGTAAAAATATAGTAAGTAGAATATGGTCCAAGTGGGTAGGAGTCATAAAGCCTTTTTGCCCCCCCCAAAAATTCCAATTTTTTAATTTTTAATGTGTCAACTTTTTGTTTTGTGGGTGAATAGTGGCCCGTAATTTTTTAATATTCCCGAGAAAATTAAATATAATATTTTCTGGGTAGTGCCTAAAACATCATATACATTCATGTGTACATACACAATACATATATATTTATATATATATATATATATAACTAAACATATAGGCTACCAAATATTTTTTTGTGGGGGTGAATATTCTTTATGTGCATTATCTTTTATATTAACATTCTTCATAGGCATTGACGAAACAAGAGTACAAGTCTAAATTTCTTCACAATTAATAAATTAATTTGTCTTATTCAAAAAGTAATAACGATTCCTTTTCTTCTTCTTTAGAAGTTGGATAACATACGTATATTATATATATATATATATATGTACGTATGTATGTATGTACACGATCTTCCTTGATATATATTATTTATTTATACACATATATGTTGGTATATCAGATTTCTAATATGAATTTTTTACCCTCTGATATATTGCAGGAAATTTTTAGCACTTGATCCAGGGATTCAATTGAATAGCAAGGAGCATGATAAGGTATTATCAATTCTTCCTTTTGACTATCATAAAAAATTGTATATATATATATATGTATATATTACATTGTATTGAAATAATATTTTATTTTTTGGTTAATTAAATAGTATTAAAAGTTATTTTTTTTTTCAGAATTATTAATAAAATTAATTTTATAAATATACATTATGCTAAAATTATTATTATTATCTTATTTCAGATAATAATCGATAATGGCATACTTCAAATTACTTTTTCGAAACCAGACGGTCTGATTATAGGAATAAAATACAATGGTATAGAGAACGTTCTTGATGATGCTAATACGATTGATGATAGAGGGTAAGTGCTTTTTTATTTTCATTAATCACTAATTAATCTCGTCTAATTATTAATTATTTTACTTAATTTTTAAAATTATCTTAATTATTACTTACAAATAAATAATTTGCAGTTACTGGGACATCGTTTGGTACGAGCCAAATACCCCATTAAAAATAGACAAGTAAGTTATCTCCATGCAAAGTACTATTGTGTTGCTAATCATTTTTACTTACTATTAATTATAAATTAAGCTAATTTTGTTTGATTTAATTTACTGAATTGCAGAATAGAAGGTACCCAATTTAGGGTTGTGACCCAAAACGAAGACCAAATAGAGATTTCTTTCTCAAGAACATGGAATCAGTCCAATCTTGGAAGTCAAGTTCCCTTGAACGTAGACAAAAGGTACAAATTATAATTCGTAATCCCTAATTAATATTTATATAATCAACGTGTAATTGTAGATTATCGTATCTAAAAAATGTACCC